AGCTTGTTCGTCATACAGAATCGAAAGACCAATCGTACTTCGATGGGTGCTCTGTGGGACTGATGGTATGTATAGATTTAATTCAATGTCTAAATATAATAATATTAAATTGTAAATTTCTGAAATCTTGTGTGTGTAGGCTTGGTTGTACGAGCGTGTCCCTTCTCTTGGAAAGAAATCGACACTTGAGGCGATTCCCCGTCTATTTCGATGGACGGGGAGCACCTTGCCTTCGACAGTGGAAGAATGTTTACAGTCTCTTAAAAAAGTGATGAGACGGTAATTTATATAGTTTTTATAGTATTATGTGTTTTCTTCTCTGTTTTTGTTCTTTTGGTTAATCGAAATTGTACTTAAATCATTATGATTTGATTTCCAGGTGTATTCGGTAGTGTTTGATGAACATCTGTTTGTAGAAAACCAGGTTTTTCTTTTAATGTTGGTCGAGAATTTATGTTTTAGCATTAATAGATTTTTATAGGTATAAGTATCTTATAATTTATGTTTTTCTTTTAATTTTGATTTTTCTTTCATGTACATGGAACATTTGAGAACCGTTTGTTTGCCATGGTTTGTCATGAGAATGATGAACTTCAAAAAAAATTCAAGTGTTGGAGTCGGAGAGGAAAGAAAAGAAGAATGAAGAAAAAGAAAAAGAGGAAAGAAGTGAGACTAAGAGTGGTGATGGTTTTGATCAGACTGAGCAAAAAGAGGAGGAGGAAAAAAATGAGGATGAGACTGATGGAAGATGTGCTCTGATGGTGATTAAGAAAGCTGTTGAGAATGAGTTTCAAGATTTGGACCGACTAGTCGACCTGGTTGTGGAGGATGTTGGTTTGAGCGAAGGGCTGGAGAAAAAAGGGTTGTCGGGTGAGCCAAACTCTGAGCACAACGCTCAGAGCTCACACATGTTACGCCGACAACCAGAGAAGAAACAACAGTCGTCCTCCATGATGAAGAGGGTGAGGGAGAGGGTAGGGAGGAAAAAGAAGATGAAGTCGGTCCATAAATAAAAACATCTTAGGCTTCTCCTTCATACCACGAAACAAGCACGTGGCGGCTCGTAGACGAAGGTGGCGTCTAAGACCACCCTTCTAGTTTTTTAAGCCGATGACTTGATTGGACCAAAATAAAACCACCATAGTTGCCGACCGTATGCCGCCGTCTACAGCACCTCCGTCAATGGCCGATCGCCGCTGTCAAATCAATCAACATTAGGCTTTACTCCCTAGAGCCGAGAACTGAACCTCAGTTTAGGTCCGTCACTTCGTCGTCGGGTGGACTGTTGTCGACAATGTGGGTGGTGTCAACGTCGACCATTTTTCTTCGCACACCCTTAATCCACTTGGTTTTAATTTTGGAAATTGAAACTTATTTTATACAAAATTCGATCCATCATAGGTTTCACCTTGCGAGTATAAAATCTTAATTAATCTGGCGCACATCTTCTAGGCCATTAGTATGGATATTCGCTACATAGTACATACAGTGGGACACTTTTTTTGTCATGGACAAAATGTTGAAAAAAATAGAACAAAAAATGAGAGTTTGATGCAAGTGGAGTAGTTGCAGAGAAAGTTTAAATAATTGATAGAGAGATGAGATAATTAATAATGAGAAAATGTTCAGTATTTTGGTAAGAATCACATTAAGTTCGAACTTACCTTTTTTTTTTCCAACGACAAACAAGATAAAATTACTCAACAATAAACGTCTTACAATACGAGGCCTAACTAGGCACCATGGTTCCCCTAACAAGCTCACACACATGTTTGGGAACCCCAGAATGATTTAAAACACTTACAAATCACCTTGAATAGCCATTTTGGCTAGAAAGTTACAATCTTTACAAATACTAACATTAAAACTAAAAGTACAAGAGTTAAAACTAGTCACCAAAAGATTGAATGCATATGACTGTTCTTCCCTCATTCTCTGATTTGTTATGAAGTCTTGTGTCCACTCCACCATCTCCTTACAGTCAACATAGCAAATGATGTTCTTCCAGTCCTTCTTCTTTGCTTCCTCAAGCACTCACATAGTTGCTACAATATAGACCTCCACTGAACTTCCATGAAAGTCCCTAGATGCATCCCATAGTTGTAGGTCATTGTCTTCTCTAAAAGCTCTTCCCCCCATCCCCAATCTGCCATTTTGCTTCCAACAGCTAACAGCAACCATAATCCCATCTTCAAATCCACTCTCTGTCCCCCCATTCTGGATCAGCTCCTCACACCTAAACTGCACTATCTCCTCTCCATTCACCACAGTACCTTTATCCCTGTCATTACCCTTCCAGCTTTTAACACTGCTCTTGTACAAATGCCACTCATTCACAGCCCTTTGGACTGTCACCACTTCCCCAACCCAATTTTTTTCAAACACCCAACTATTCCTAGTTTTCCAAAGCCACCACAACATATATGTTGAAAGACTTATCCTATCAATCATGTGGTTAACTTTGGAAGCATTACAAATCTCAGCCCACCACACCCCAAAATCAGTACCCCCATTTTCTATCCTATTCCAGCTCACCCCCAAAAGCCTCCAACAGACCCAAGCCCTCTTACAGTTAAACAAAATATGATTCAAATCTTCCTCCCCCTCCCCACATAGCTCACAGGTCACCTCAGCTCCCATACCTCTCTTTCTCAACTGCAGCTTAGCACTAACAAACTCAAACCAACACCTCCATAAAAATTTTTTAAGTTTATTCTGGATAGGTAATTTCCAAGTAACCTGCCACATTTTCTTAATCTGCCACTCATTACTGCTAGAACCCTTATCTCTATGTCCCTGTCTGCCTTTCTTAAGAATCAGATCATAGGCATTTTTAACAGCAAACATACCTATTTTCTGACCATGCCACACTAATTTGTCTCTCATACCCAAAGCATTAAGAGGAATATTGATAATGGCTGTAGCTGTCCTAGGATCAAAAGTCTGAAATATCAATTTCCTGTCCCAAGAATGACCACCCTCACCCATGAGATCCCTGACCTTAACTAATCTATCCCTATCCACAACAAATCTGCGTTGAGGAATAAACCCCTCAATATCTGGGATCCAAGGGGACTCCCATATGTTAACATTTCTGCCATCCCTATCCTATACCTAGTACCCAGCCTCAAAGATTTCCTAGCCCCTAACTAACATTTCCAAAGCCAAGAGTTCCCCCCCTCTACCCTTAGCTTCCCAGATACTAGATTTAAGGAAGTACTTACCTTTCATGACCCTACTCATCAAAAGATTAGGCATAGTGATCACTCTCCATAGCTGCTTAACTAAGAGAGCCTCATTGAAAGCTCTTAGATCCTTGAATCCTAATCCCCCTTCCCCTTTAGCTAAAACTAGCCTATCCCATCTAGCCCAGTGTAACTTGTTCCCCCCCCCCTCATTATCTTTTTTTCCCCACAAAAAATTTGTTGTTTCTTTACACATGTCATCACAAATTGAAACAGGAAGCCTATAACAAGACATAATATAAGTAGGGAGAGCTCCAATCACAGATTTGATCAGAATCTCTCTCCCAGCCTCACTCAAATACACATTTTTCCAATTTGAAATTCTGTTTTTGACTGCCTCACTCACAAACTGAAATGTTTCTCTCTTAGATTTGCCAATCCCCAAAGGGAGGCCAAGGTATTTAGAGGTTTTAACAACTTTCACTCCCTGCAGAATATTACACACCCCAGAAATAGTGGCATTATCAGAGTTTTTGGAAAAGAAAATGGAAGATTTACTCAAGTTCACACACTGTCCAGAAGCAGATCCATATTCATTGAGGATATTCAAGATAATATTGGCATCATGAGCATCAGCTTTGCACAATAATAAGGAATCATCAGCAAAGAACAAGTGAGAAATAACTGGAGCTTCTCTACTGACTCTAATCCCCTGATAAACCTTTTTAGACCTAGCTTGACAGATTAAATTAGAGAAAGCCTCTGACACAATTATAAAAAGGTAAGGGGATAAAGGATCCCCTTGCCTGAGACCTCTAGAAGCATTAACAAATCCTGCATTGACCCCATTCACATTAAAACTAAAAGTGGTAGTACTCACACAAGCAAGAATCCAGTTGACCACTTTGTGACAAAAACCCATTTATAGACACACCTCAACTTATATATTAAATATTTATAGACAATAACAATTAGTTTTTATTTTAAATTGTATATATACAGATATAATAGGAACATATCGTACTTTTGCTAAAAAAATCAGAACAATGTACATATGCAATAAAAGTAGGATATTAACGTTCTTAGAGTAATTTTCTCTTACTTAAAATGCAAAGCTTGTATTGAGGAAGAATAAAATTCATGCCTCGACACAATTCTAAGAAGTTGGGTCGTGTTATGAAATTTTCGGTCTTTAATCGGAATAAATTAATAATTTTGTCACTTTTAAACACTGTTTTGTGATCCGGACCAGTCCGACGGGTCAACCCGGGACCTGGTTGATCCGGAGTCGGAACCGGTCCGGGTGCGGTATTTGGACCGGGCAACAATGGACTCGGTCAAACCCGATCAAAACCCGGCCGACTCGGGACATTGACCCGGCCTGGTCAACTCGGTTGACTCGGTCCATATACATTTTTTTATTTTTTTTGTTTTTTAAAAATAAAACTATGTATACATGTTTATATGGTAAATATTTATCATGAGATACATATTATTAACACTTTAATGTACAAATTTTATACACAAAACATTTAATTTTGTTACTTTTATTTATATTTATATGACAAAAATACTCTATGTATAATTTTAAAAATTTTAAAATTAGTTATCCGGTTCAGCAATTGATCCGGTGACCCGAGGGTTGAATCGGTGACCCGGTGACCCGAGGACCTGCCCGGGTCGATTACCGGGCCAAGTTTAAAAACTATGCTTTTAAATAATAATTAAAATTGTCCAAACAAGCCCCCGTCCAAAATAAAAAATAATAAAAAAATCCACATATCTATATATTTTTACCGTTAGACTATTGCAAAGTAGTCACAGTTCTACCTTCTACGCCTTATTCTCAGAGTCCCTATTTCCGATTCGATATCTCCTCAATTCCCCCTAAAACAGAAGCGATGAACTGCCGGAACCGCTATCGCTCCCACGCTCTGCCGCCGCCGCCGTCGTCCGAGTCCATCAAACTCAAGATGTGGCAAATCGTCTCCCGCCACGAGCAGCTGAAAGTCGCCTTCCACCAGCTCCATTCTCAGATCAGGACCGGTCTGCTTGAGGTACGGTCGCAATCGGCGGTTCTCTGTGATTGCCTCGAACGTTTATTCCATAATTTTCCCCTCAGAGCTTCGTGTTAATGGTTTTTCCGGCGCAAGGCGGAGGAAGTATTCGCGTCGCTGGCTATACCCCTGACGAAGCTGGTTGGGCTTAAGACGGTTGAAATGGCTGCCGAGGAGAGATTCAGCACTATCTTCACTTCTGTTGATCGTTCCCCTTGTCAGGTTATTCAATTTTTGGTCTTAAATTCCATCTACGGTTAAGCTTCCTTAGTTGCTCTGCTGATTTTTTTTTTTTTTTAATTGTTTACTTACTTACTTTAGTATGCGTGACTGTGTGCACACGCATGCGTTTCTGTCACAGTAATGCCGATTTGATTGTTGTGTGCTTTTTTCACGGAGGTTAATCATATGGTGTTGGGTAGTACCCAGTGCAGTAGTGTTCGTACCAGAGTGAGAAATTTACTGAAGGTGGGATGTGTTTTCAGTCGCTAGTTTATGTGGTGTGTTGTCCTCTAGTTCTTGTGCCTTGACACGGTTCAATGTTGTTGAGATCTTCAATTAGGTTTGACCAAAGCTGTTTATTGTTTTGGTAAGAGAGAGATGTAAAGCTTCTCATGTTGAGGCAGGAAGCTGAATCAATGTTTCATGGTTTGGAAATGTAGGTCTATTTATGTGTAAACAAGATTGAGGAGTTCGAACCTTTGCGATTGCCTAACATGAAACTGAATAATATAAACCGTATGGAACTTTGAAGTTATCACACTGAATAAAAATCTGGTTATGTATATTCCACACACTGCTCGTGTATAGATCTATATATGGAGTTGCGAGCTCAAGGGCTTAGCACGTATTGAAACTACTGCTTATCATACACTGATGTTAAGTTTCCATTCACCACTTCATCCCAATGTATGTGCTTTAAAGCTCAAGACGTAATGGTATCTTTAAAATCTCCATTCATATCACACTTCGTTACTGTCACAGCAAAAACCCCTGTCGAGCTTCCATGCAAAACATTTTGATGAGATGCAACATAAAGTGTGGTAGTATTTCGAAATTCTTGCACTTATGGGCTCACTATTCCCTAATTACCTAAAACTTTCTCGTTATTCTGCTCTGCCTTTCCGTTTTCATTTATTTTAACTGAAATCACCTGTGGCAAGTTCTCTGAATTTCAGCAAGAGAACTACATGGCCAGAGCCACCACCGCTGGCAACGAGTTCATCGAGAGACAGAAGCTACAGCTTATGCAGCTCATCAGCCTTCTGAAGAAGATCGAGGCCCAGGTCAACTTGAGCCAGAGAAGCATCTTCCAGAATCTATCTGACCATCAGGCTGACATGGAAAAGTTCTTCCTAAAAGCTTTTGCATACGTTTCCTCAACTCACCAGTGTGGCCCCAGCAACGAACTCTTCCATGTGATGTTAAAGATACTCAGAGCCACATTCAACCAGGTGGGGGCTGCACTCGGGTCAGTTGAGGTCGGAATAGATGACCTTATCCGTGAGCTGGCTCAGAAGATGTGTGGTCCCATGGTTGAGTATGCCAATGGTCTCAAGGTCGAGATTAGAGCCGGGACTTGCTCTCGGTTGCTGGAGGTCATAAAGGAGATGGATGGGGCAATGAAGGTTAGGGAGTTGGAGTTGGAGGAGGCGAGAAATCGCACCAGGTTAGCAGAAGAGGGAAGGATGAAGGCCATGAACATGGTGATGAAATTGGGGAAAGGGGGTGGGAAAATGACCATGTCGTCCCCAGAACTGTTAATGGAGGATATTAAAGAGTCGGGAGAACACTCGACACATGAAAAGGTATCTCTTTTTGTTGTCATGACGTACTGATATTTGTTGGGAAATGCTTGATTTTTCTGAGTGATCGTTGAGGGTGCTCTTTTAAATATTTATTTGTTAGGGAGTATTCTGCTTACTTGGTACATGTTAAGAGAATCTTATAACTTCAGCTTTTATTTTTCTTTTTTCTTTTTTTGAAATGTATAAAGCATTGAGAGTCGTGACTGATGGAATTTCTTAGCCAGTAAACAATTAAATAAAAACATCAAGAAAAACAAATAAATAAAAGTTCCTGATGGATAAAACTATTTTTCAATATTAGATCAGGGAATTGTAAATCTAAATCGTTTTGTTCCTGCTAAGGAAAAAGTAGTTCTTTATTGCAGGTTAGTAATGAATGCCATGTTTACCATACTCCATTTGTGTTGGTTGTTTGATAATCTGGCTCGCCCCTTAATAATTATTAGCCATGATTAAAAACAAATAATAATTCTGTGATCACATTTACAGAAAAACCAAGTCATCTGTCATCATTTTAAGTAGCACCTTACTACAGATGCCCATCACAGTTCGCTTTGAATCTTGACAAATATCCAACCATGTTGGCCAAAATTTGTAAAACAGAAACATATACTGAGATAGTCAATCTATTTTTGAAAGATAAATGAGGTTTTATGCAATCCCACAGACCTCAATGTTTTTTCTTCAACTAACCTTCGTTTCTATATGGTTTCTGGTGCTGAAGTTGTTCCATTTTTTTTGTCCTTAATTTTTCTGTAGTCTTTGGGCACTAAGGCAGATCAGGCAAAAGATGAAAACTTACTATGGGAACTCCTGAGGCAGAAAAGAAAATGTCACGTACCAGATAGTCCCATTGGACCGAATGAGCTTCTGGGCATAGCCACGTGCAGCAAAAAGCTTAAGGCGACAAGGTTGTTACCCCCACTCGGTCACAGACCTTTTACACGTTCCGCATCAAAAACAGCCGATTTACAGTCTTCCTTGAGCAGTTCCAGGTTGCTCTTAGGTTCTTCCCCTACAACCACAACTAATCGAAAAGTTTTAGGCAGGAGGTGAGTAGCTCCCTAATTTCATGTTCAATGAAAAAAACTTGTTATTGCATAATTGGTTCAATGCTATTGAAATTTCTAGTATTATACTCGTCACGGTTTAATTTCTTTTCCTGTGAAAACCGTAGAATGTTATTCCTTTTGCTGGTGCTGGTTTTGTTTGTGCATATCATAGAAAGATGAAGAAATATTGAGTTTATCCGATTTCATGCATGCCGAACATTTTGTATGTGCAAGCAAGTCGTAGCTGTGAACAGCAAAAAAAGAGAGTTATCTCCAGGTCTCATTTTGGATTGAATTTTGTGTCCAGTGGTATTTTGCATGAAAAAAAAAAAAATAGCAAAACATATCCAAATTGTCATCAGAGATTCAGAAGTCCCACCTTTGGAAACAAGATTCTGATTCAATATAATTATTTAGGTGCATTTTTTAGATTGATTTGCGCAAATGCAGAGAAACTAGTTAGATTATAGCTTTTGAAGTTCATTTTCCACTCAGATTTGGGCAATTTGAGTGAGTACTAAAAGAACACTTTTATTCAAATCAACCATAGAGCTTCTCGTTCTGTTTGTAGGTTGTGGGATTTTAAAGCACATTTCATCTTGTTATAACATATTTTACTCAGTGTATTCTTTCACATATGCATGCTAACATGCGAAAAACATGGAGTTGATTAGAAATTTTCGTCTTCTTGAACTGTTGATTTGACAACCATTCATGCACTATATGGCAGATAAATTTCATTACGGAATACACACACACAAAAAAAAAAAGATCATCCTACCCCCGTGGGTAGTGGCTTCACGTGGGTTTTAGATTTTTAGCCTTTGAATTAACACACACTCCCACACGGGTATATGTGCATATGTGTAAAATCCGATGGCTAAAACCCCTGTACAGGCACTACCCATGGGTAGGATCGAACCTTCTCATTCCGAATACACGGATGATTGTCAAATTATTATTAGAGCTCCATATCTTGTTTTGTGGGAGGATTGACATGCCATCATTCCATGAGTATTTCAAAGACTTCTACAAGCAAAACACATTCGGCACTAAAAAATGCTTCATCATCAGCAATTCTTACAATTTCAAAGTTTTGAGAACTTTTTTTACCTAATTTTTTTAACCACATAAACCAAACACCCTTGAACAAAAACGGTAAAAATTTTCACCAAGAGACCTCTTGAGTACGGCTTCACTACAAACATTTGCAACCACTGAAAGATCATCACGTATTGTTGGACAGTTGTTTTTTATTTTCACAAGCTCTTCATGCTTCAAGATGCTGCATTTTCTAGATTTTTTTTTTCCAAATAAAAAAAAGTCAGGTTAAATTTCCATTATGCTACCTCTTGCTTTCTACATTGAAACAACTAGAGATACAACAAGGTCAAACAGTCTCAACTTTCTTGACCGTGATTATCGGCTCTTGGATATGATGATCCTTCTCAATAGAATTTTGTGAATATGCATTTCTTTCAGCTTCAGCTTGCTCAAGTAGAGCCTGTCTTTGCATGGCCATCAACATCTCTCTCATAGATTTCTCCTCACCTTCGAGCTATGTTTGCATAATAATCTCAGTCTCCTTGTCTATCGGCATAAAGTACTCCTGAAGTGCTACTTCCTGTTGCATTTCAAACTACTGTTCAGACAACTAGCAATGGACCCCAAAAACAAAATGAGGCAAAAGGAAAAAAAAAATGTAATGAAGTAGTTTGACATGTCCGGGTATATACATCAAATATTCTAAATCAGAACAAAGGATGCTACACAAAGCATTTATACAAATATAACAAACACCCAATAAGAGGAAATAAAAGAAGAACTGAGAAATGAAAATGAATAATACAATTGTCCATCATTTCCATAATAAAATCTAAATTGTTCAAAAAAAGAATTTTGTTTTGTCAGAGAATTCAACAAAAGACGTGAATCAAAGAGAATTTGATTTCATTTAGGTCCCAACAATTAGGCAAAATTCACTTGGGAGTTTTTCCTACACATATATGCCTTAAATAAACTTTCCATTACATTCTGTTTTGAAAAAGTTCCATTACATTCTTTTTGTTGCAACAGTTCTTATCAAAGGTTGAGAAAAAAGAGCATATACAAACAAAAGAAGCAATTTTATGTGTGACTACCAACCAAAGTCACCACAATTAAACAAATGCCTATAAAAATTTCATTAAAAAAAAAAAAGAAAGAAAACATTAGAATAACAAAGGGTTAAAACCTCTATCGTTTCGTAAAAAAAAAACAAAAAAAACAAAGGGTTAAAACTCGCACAACCGCCATACTGTTTACGTCTCGCTTTAACCATACGAACAATAATAAAAATAGTACAACAAAGATTTCCACTTAAAAATACAACCACAATAATTAGATAAATTCGTTTAAAAACACAAGGCACCTCTGAAAATTAGTTATCTCGTACAAAGAGGCTTTGATCAGATGTCGTCAATAATCTAATATAATGTTGGCCTAACCTCTCAAACAAGAAAAATCAAAATCAATAATGTGAAGAGGGGCAAAAAATAAATAAGCTAAAATATGTTCTTATTGCTCTAATCACCCGATCGCTCGATCAAATGTTTTGCCATAGTCCTGCAACACTCGAGTAAACAATACTCGAAAAACCATAGGTTTCATTTAGTCCGCTATATTGGTTGTATGACAAATGTCAATATTCACCTTCTTCTTTACTTCCAATCACTCCAGTAACAATGAAAATTGGGATTAGGCGTCATTTGTAACAAATTTATTCTTAAATCAGTTTTTATAATGAATCCCCATCATCGCACCTGCTCTGTATGAATGAGTAGCCAAGATATCAGGGATCCGCTAATTACAAATTAAACAAATGATATATACAAAGAAAAATATGACCATACTAAAATTCAAATAATAACTACTACTTACTTGAAAGTTGAAACCGTATTAACTAATACATTGAAAAATCTGACGGTACAACTCGTAATTGTCGGCAAATGAGTATATAATAAATGTTCATATCAAATGAGAATCATTGTGTGATTTAATGATATAAACATGACATACCAGTACTGACTCTTTCTCGCACAAGCAACACAAGCAAAATGTATGGCTGTAGACTATGAATAGAGCGCATGGGTAGAAATTAAACAAACCAAATCATACCTCATATCTTACTGGAATATGTAGGTAAGTGGAATTGATACATCACCTTGCCCAAACCAGACTTGTTAAACACCTCCATTGTCCGCGATGAACTCCATAAGAGTTCAATCATATAGTTGATGGATAACAAGGTAACTTTTAAGCTTAATTCAATGAGGTAGATTGTTGAAGAATCAAATGCGTTACCGATTTGTGTAAGAAGGTCGACACTAGCCCTCAATCAATCCATATTTCGTATGCAAAAACAGCACCAGGTTGTTCTATGAACATGCATGTCCAAATTTTGACAAAGTAGGAGAAGAGAACACGATAGTGACATCAGTCATCTGATCTGATGCCGAGAGAGAGGCCCTAGCCGTGTATATATATATATATATATATATCAAAGATTAGGGTTTACAAGTATATAACTTACCAACCAAGGAACTAAGGCTAAAAAAGTAAATACATAAATACATAAGATATAATGTACACTAACACCCCCCTCAAGTTGGAGCATGTGGCTTCCGAACACCCAACTTGCCAAGGAAAAAATCGAATTCACACTTCTCAAGGGCCTTGGTAAAGATATCCGCTAGCTGAGCGCTAGTAGGAACATGACAAGTAGAGATGAGACCCTAGTGAAGTGCATCTCGAACAAAGTGACAATCGACCTCAATATGCTTGGTGCGCTCATGAAAGACAAGATTCGCGGCAATATGCAAGGCAGACTGACTATCACAGAAAAGCTGCATAAGCTGAGAATGAGACACACCAAGGCTAGACAATAAACCTCGCAACCACTTCAACTCACAAAGAGTGGTTGCCATTGCACGATATTCGGCTTCAGCAGAGGAGCGTGCAACCGTATGTTGTTTCTTAGTACGCCAAGAAACAGGAGACTGACCCAACTAAATAAACCACCCCGTAAGAGAGCGACGAGTGAGAGGACAAGTTGCCCAATCGGAGTCACACCAACCATAGAACTGAAGATCATAATCAGAGCGTATAACAATACCCTGACCAGGGGAACCCTTCAAATAGCAAACCACACGAAGTGCAGCATCCCAATGAGTCTGGCGTGGCTGATGCATAAACTGAGCTAGCATATGAACAGAGTATGACAACTCTGGCCTAGTAACTGCCAAATAAATCAGACGACCTACTAAACGGCGATACTTCTCAGGATCCTCCAATAACTCATCATTAGCAAGAGGCAACTGGTGATTCTGCTCTAAAGGAATAACAGCAAGCTTACCTCCTAACAAGACAACTTCTGAAACAATATCTAGGGCATATTTTTGCTGACAAAGAAAAATACTAGAAGAATTCCGAGCAACCTCAATGCCCAGAAAATACTTCAAAAGGCCCAAATCCTTCATGTGAAAACATTGACTCAAATTGCTCTTAAAAGCGGCAATAGACGTGGAATCACTCCTAGAGACAATCTAATCATCCACATATACCAAAACATTCAAATAAACAGAGCCACGATGAAGAGTAAACAAAGAATAATCGTGATAGGATCGAGAAAAAACTTATTGTGTCATGGCAGCAGCAAGCTTGGCAAACCAACACCGAGGAGCTTGCTTCATTACATATAGAGAACGACGTAGACGACACACATGATCAGCGGCAACAGTCCGGAAGCCAGGAGGAAGCTTCATGTACACCTCTTCATCTAAGTCACCATGAAGAAAAGCATTGTGGACATCCATCTGATGCACCTCCCAATGCTTGGCAACTGCGACAGCAAAAAACAACCGAACTGTAACCATCTTAGCCACAAGGGCAAAAGTCTCATGGTAATCAATGCCAGAAACCTGATTGTTACCCAAAATAACAAGACGCGCTTTAAAGCGCTCAACCGAACCATCAGACTTATGCTTGATTTTATACACCCACTTACAACCTATCGCACATTTCCCAGGTGGAAGAGAAACAACATCCCATGTGCCATTATTCTCCAGTGCCCGAATCTCTTCCTGCATGGCCACTCTCCACCGAGGATCAACAGCAGCCTCAGCAAATGTGTGATGTTCCACCGCGGAAGCAAGAGCTGCTAAAAATGACTTGTGGCCTGATGAGAAAGAATCACAAGAGACATAATGTGTAATAGGATAAGGCGTACCTGAGGAAGGCGATGACACAAAGAAGGCAGTGGAGGGTTTCGAGGGACAGACAGTTTCAATAACAAAGTCCTTAAGTCGAGTAGAGGGTCATTTGGCTCGATGACCCCGACCTAACGCCTCCACGAGAGACGAACCCCCCTATCGTCGAAACGTCTGGAAACCACATGATCAGAGGACCCTGCCTCAGGAATCGAATAGTCGGCAACAAAGAGGGCGCTGGAGTCAGAACTGCAGTATCATCATCCTCGACTGGAAAATGAGCAACGGGAACCGAGGGTGTAGGGGAAACAACGGGAATATCACCCAATGGGAACTCAGTCTAAACGAACTCCACATCACGAGAAACGAGAAAAATCTCACGTTCTAGGTCATAGACATGCCAACCCTTCTTCCTAAAGGGATACCCAACAAAAATACACTTACGACTACGACTAGAAAACTTATCCCCCCGACGATCCTGGTTATGTACATAGCAAAGACAACCGAAGACACGCACAAGTGAATAATCAGAAAGTTTGCCATACAAAACCTCATAAGGAGTTTTACCTTTGAGAATAGTAGTCGAAGTTCGATTAATCAAATAACCGGCAGCTAAAATACATTGACCCTAAAAAGGCAAAGGCAAAAGGGCCTGAAACCGCAAAGCACGAGCAACATTAAGAATATGTTGGTGTTTCCGTTCCACACGGCTATTTTGCTGAGGAGTATCCACACAAAAAGTCTCATGAATAATTCCTTGACGAGTGAAATAAGGAGTCATGCACATAAATTCAGTTCCATTATCGCTTATAACTGTGCGTACTAACTTGCCAAATTGACGTTGCACCATAGCAAAAAAGTTCAACAACTTTGATGAAACCTCATACTTATCATTAAGTAAATAAATCCAGGTCCCTCGAGAACAATCATCAACAATAGTTAAGAAATAACGCGCTCCACTGAAGGAAGGAACACGATAAGGACCCCAAACATCACAATGAATTAATTGACAAATCTCAGTACTAGCAGCATGAAAACTATCTCGAGACTGTTTAGCATGGAAACACACATCGCATGCTTTATTCAACAAACTAGAACTAAAATCAACTACCGAAAGCTGAGACAATAAGGTAGACGAAGGATGACCCAAACGCTGATGCCACAAATCAGAGGAAACCTTCTTCACTCGAGAAGCTGCTACAGAAACTGTCCCTCGAAAGAAGTAGAGACCCCCCAACTGCTCACCCGTGCCAATCACCTCGAAGTACAATCCCGAATAGCACAAAATTTATTATCAAAATGAGTAGTACAATTAGGGGTGTTCACGGTCCGGTTTTAACCGGAAAAAACCGTCAATCCGGACCGCGGATCGGTTAAATGGTCAGTTAAAAAAGCCTTAAAAAATCCGGTGGTTAATTTTTTTAAAAATCCGGAAAAACTGGTTCGGTTAATGGATTACCTGCGGCAAACCGCCGGTGATCGGACCGGTAAATATTAAAAAACTATAACAAATATATATATATATATATATATATATATATATACATTCAGTCATTCACTATGGCCGACAAATACATTACATTCACTATGAATGCTTTGCTCTTATTATTTCAGGTGTATAAACTGATTGAAAAATGAATATTTGCTTGAGTTCAGTTTGCATAATTAATCTTCACCATTTTTGTATTTTTATGTTTATGGGAGGAAATGTGCATTTTTATGCTTATGAGACGAATTGTGTACTTTTTATTTCATTATTGTTGTTTTTCTTAATTTTTAAGTCCAAATAATCTCTTTAGGACCCAAAATTGAAAAACAAAAATTAAGCCCAAAATGAAAAAAATAAAAATTGAAGGCCCAAAACAAGTTTTGGATTTAACCGGTTAACCGCCAAACTGGACCGTCCAATGCGGTCCGGATTGTGGTCGGTTAAAAAATAAAACCGGTCCGGTTATGGACAAGAAAAAAAAATTAACCGTTAGGTCCGGTTTGGTCATGGTTTGGGCTAAAACCGGACCAATCCGGACCGTGAACACCCCTAAGTACAATCTGACTGGTCCAACAACTGATAAAGAGATATAAGACTGCAACGAAGACTGGAAACAAACAACACGTCACGAAGAACAATATGAAAACCCAAAACACAGTGTTAGCCTGACAAGCTATAGTCAAAGTCCCATTTGGCAATTGAACCGGCCGAGAAGGAATATCATGGACATCAGTCAAAAAATCCAAGTAACCTGTCATATGATGTGTAGCACCACAATCATACATCCAATCATATATATTACCCTTACCAGACACCAAAGGTTCTTGTTTAGCCGAATTGACTAAACTCACAATATGGGACCATTGCTCATTAGAAAGACCAGTGATAGCAGCCCGGTCAGACTCAGAAAGTTGGGAACTGGAACCAAAATCAGGACCTAAACTTTTCGCAGCAGCATTGACACGAGTGGTGCCACCGCGACCCGGGCCGCCTCCGCCACAACGCCCATGACCAGCTCCTCCGCGACCAGCCCCTCCACGACCAGAACCGGAGGGAGAATACCAGTCTGGGTAGCCAATAATGTCAAAACAGTTAGCGGCCACGTTACCATTCTTGCCACAGTTGAGGCAAACCGGCCTCCCGTTTGATTGACGTTGTCCAGTACTCGCGGCAGTAGCCCGGCCCAAGTTGCACCCAGCAACCACCCGGACGCCGCCTGCGGCAGCCCCGAACAAAGCCCCTAGTGCACTGGGAAATACTCCGGACAACGATGCCTTCCCTGCAGCAAAAAACGAACCAGAAGGAGCAGTTTGAACAACAAAGCCGGCATCCACAGTAGGTTGAACATCACCACCAATAGCCATCATCCGCATTCGCTCCTCTTGCACCATCATTGAAAAAACACGGTTTGAAGACGGAAAAGGTTCCTGGACCTGAATATGAGAACGAGGAACACCATAAAGGGCGTGATCGAGCCCCTTCAAAAATTGATGAACGCGT